GATTAGTTTTGTGTTATCAAGAATGTATGCACATATTTTGTATCTAAATTTGTAAATAAACAATCAACGCTTTAGCACACGTTCATTTAAAAGAGTCTTGTAAAGTCTTGATCTTCTGCAGTATCCGGATCAAATATATATATATAATATTGGAATCTTTGAACCTTATTAGATTATAATGATCTAGAATAGGGAAAGATCCGGTCAAATTGAAGCCTGGAATTGACCTGGCTTGGCTTACATGGATTAGGTTAATGTTTTGGTCGCCCTGGTCACCTGATCCTGGTCCTGGTCTGGTCCTGGTGGCCTTGGTCACCTGATCCTGGTGCTGGTTTGGCCCTGGTGGCCCTGGTCACCTGATCCTGGTTCTGGTCTGGTCCTGGTGGCCTTGGTCACCTGATCCTGGTGCTGGTCTGGCCCTGATCCTGGTTCTGGTCTGGTCCTGGTGGCCCTGGTCACCTGATCCTGGTTCTGGTCTGGTCCTGGTGGCCCTGGTCACCTGATCCTGGTTCTGGTCTGGTCCTGGTGGCCCTGGTCACCTGATCCTGGTCCTGGTCTGGTCCTGGTGGCCCTGGTCACCTGATCCTGGTTCTGGTCTGGCCCTGGTGGCCCTGGTCACCTGATCCTGGTTCTGGTCTGGTCCTGGTGGCCCTGGTCACCTGGTCCCGGTCTGGTCCCGGCCGCCCTGATCTAATCCAATAGATCTAATTCTCAATTTATAACTCATTCTTTCATAGCAAAGATCAACATCTACTGCTTGTGAGAAGTCGAAGTTAAAATGAGAAATCTAGAGTCTAGAGGCAAGGCTTGGCAATGATAGTCAGTTCTACGGATATCATAATGATCAGTAGCCATATCAGTATCAGTCTAGTACTTACAGTTTCTTGGCAATCTTTCACTGACTTGCTTGAACGCTCCTTATCTTACAATAGATCCAAAACTGCCGCTTTCTTGTTTACCGATTGCGGTCATTAACGGTTTTGATAATGCTCTGGTTGGTCTACCACATGACCTGACCTACATCATTTGTTATCCAATAGTTTATCCACTCATTATCAATGCACTGACAGATCTTACCAACTTTCAAGCGCATCAACCAGCTACTTTTTATGTAAACGTATCAATTCTTAATTCTTAAATGATTATCTTATCAAAAACAGATTTTTTAAAGAATAGAAACCAAAGAAAAAGAAAAAAATTCACAAAAACATCATTTGAATCATTGTTTTTTTGAGGAAACCTTTAAAAACAACGCTTGTTTTTCCTTTTGAGCAAGCCTAGTTTCGAAATTTTGATCAATCAAAATAAACAGGTAGTAAAAAGTGATAAGAATCTTGAAGTTTCAAGTCAATGTGAATCCTCAAATGATTCAAACCCTGTCTCTGCAGTGTGTGAGAGAATACCGATGGGGGCAATGATTATTAGATATTTATTCCGAATCTAGCACAATACTAATCTAACGAGAAAATATAAAAGAATAGAATCAATCGTTGGTTCAGTGTTTCATAGCAATACGAAGAGCAATACCAAGAGACAATACAAAGTGAGCTCCGTCCCTTTTAAACGTCCCTTTTATCATAAAAAGGATCTTTTAGAGGCGGGACAAGAGAATCAGATATTCAAATCAAAACATTAAATAAGATTTCACAAAAAAGAGCCACTTTTCTGTGAAAATGTCACTTCACGGCATTTAATGTCACTTAACGGTCGCAAATTTGAAGTATACTTGGGAGAATTCACTCTACACGAACCGTGAATGAAAATTTTCTTTTAGAATTTGAAGGAGGCATTTAACAAGGATTCAAACAAGTGTAAGTTGATCCAGAGTTGGAGGATTCAACACTGGATCTGGACCTGGACCTGAACTGGCCGAAGTCTGCCTTGTCCAGGATCCAACCCTGGACCTGGGCCTGAACTGGTCGAAGTCTGCCTTGTCCAGGATCCAACTCTGGACCTGGACCTGAACTGGTCGAAGTCTGCCTTGTCCAGGATCCAATTGATGGACTGAACTGGTCGAAGTTGGTCTGTCGGGATACCTGGACCTGGACCTGAACTGGTCGAAGTCTGCCTTGTCCAGGATCCAACTCTGGACCTGGACCTGAACAGGTCGAAGTCTGGCTTGTCCAGGATCCAACTCTGGATCTGGGCTTGAACTGGTCAAAGTTGGTCTTGTCCGGGATCCAAACCTGGACCTGGACCTGAACAGATCGAAATCTGCCTTCTCCAGGATCCAAACCTGGATCTAGGCCTGAACTGGTCGAAGTCTGCCTTGTCCAGGATCCAACTCTGGACCTGGACCTGAACAGGTCGAAGTCTGCCTTCTCCAGGATCCAAACCTGGACCTGGACCTGAACAGGTCGAAATCTGCCTTGTCCAGGATCCAAACCTGGACCTGGGCCTGAACTGGTCGAAGTCTGCCTTGTCCAGGATCCAACTCTGGACCTGGACCTGAACAGGTCGAAGTCTGGCTTGTCCAGGATCCAACTCTGGATCTGAACAGGTCGAAGTCTGCCAAGTGTTTATCTATATAAGGCAATCTTTCTTTTACTCTTTTTCGCCCATTCTATGAGCTTGTATCCCAAATGTCTGACAGAGGACTCGAACCCTCGGGGTCCAAAAACGCATGCGCTCGGCAGCCGAGCCCACTAACCACCACACCAACAAGGTCGTTGACGGAAGACAGTGCGTCGCACTCTTAAAGACACCCCAAAAACTTGTATGCCATAAATCTCGCGATAGAGAAGCGTTTGGCAAAAACTGATTGCAGATTCGGAATCAGCGTGAAAAACGGCATTAGATAGGCTTTTTCTCGAGTCAAAACCATGATAAATTAACAACATTCCTTAGTTTAAACATTTTGAACAACTAATCACACTTTAAACGGCTATAACTTTGTCTAGGGACAATAGTATGCTTAACTATTGATATCATTGAATAATGGACATTTCAGGCTTTCAAATGATACTAAATAGAGCTTGATTGGATAATTCGGTCAAAAGAAATCAGCCCAAGAAAAATGGCGATACAACACCCGGGGGCTCAGGGTTGTCTCCGATTTTCTTGAACGGATTTTCCGGGACTCGATTGTCCAATCAAGCTTTATTTGGTATCATTTGAAAGCTTAAAATGTCCTCTATCATTGAATAAAAGACATTTTAGGCTTTCAAATGATACTAAATAGAGCTTGATTGATAAGCCAGCGGAGGAAATCAAAGCCAATTCAAAACAAGAGCCCCCAAAAACTTGTATGCCATAAATCTCGCGATAGAGGAGCGTTTGGCGAAAACTGATTGTAGATTCGGAATCAGCGTGAAAAACTGCATTAGATAGGCTATTTTCTTGAGTCAAAACCATGACAAGTTAACAACATTCCCTACTAAGCTTGAAGATGAGCATTTTTCCCTTTATTCTTCATTCATTTTACTTTCTGAATTGTTCGAATAAATTTATAATTGTCTAATCACATTGAAAAAGTATATCAAACCAAGCACGCACATCAAAGCCGATTATTTCTTACAAAAACCAACAGTTCAATCGGGTCAACTCTCTAAATTTTCGTTCCGCTTCAAGAGGAACGAGAAATTTTTGTTTTACTGCCATTTTTGGCAGGTTTACTGCCATTTTTCCTCAGGTACAAATCATCAACTTTTTGCCGAACTTGAGAACTCTCGATCTTTTAGTGGAAAAGGAAGAATTATGCAAAATCAAAGCGCAAAAAAGAACATAAGAACACTGACTTTTGTGCTCTTACAATTTTTTGCATAATCTTTTCCTCTCAATATATAAAAGGATCATCATTGGCTTACAAAGTCAGCTCTTTGTCTAGTCGAGTAGTCTATCAGCTTTTTACAAATGCGGTTGACTAGCTTCCTTCTCTTCTTTGTCGTCAAAGCTTTCGCTCTTCCCGGGAACCGCTGGGGAAAGCTGACGGCAGCTCAAGTTGAAGAGTTTAAAGAGGTAAATTCAAATGAATGATGATTTATTATCTATTTCAATTACTAATTACTAAAAAGTCATTGATTTAAATAACTTAGTCGCTTGGTCGCACTGATGCCGACAAATTTCACGATGCTCTGTTGAGAGCCCGAGAAACAGCTCGATTTGCCTCATCAGCTCAATCAGATGTTCAAATTAAAGAATTCAACGAGGCTGTAAAGGTTCGTAGAAGCTTTCAGAAGTGAACCTGTGTAAAGGTTCACTTCTAAAAGCATTTATAATGCTTTTATAATGCTTTTAGAAGTGAGCTTTTAGAGTACGGAATTTATAATGCTTGTTTGCTTTCTTGGAAATCCGTTTTTCTAAAAAAATTCCACAAAAAATACAGAGTTTTATACATTTTCTGAAAGCTAAAATCTTTCTCTATCAAATGGTAGTAAAACAGTCTTATTTTAATGATTCCTTGTTGATTTGTGATGTTTACAAGCCGACTAGACCGGCTTTGTGATGTTTACAAGCCGACTAGACCGGCTTTGTGATGTTTACAAGCCGACTAGACCGGCTTTGTGATGTTTACAAGTCGACTAGACCGGCTTTGTGATGTTTACAAGTCGACTAGACCGACTTTGTGATGTTTACAAGCCGACTAGACCGGCTTTGTGATGTTTACAAGCCGACTAGACCGGCTTTGTGATGTTTACAAGCCGACTAGACCGGGCAAGGCATGGCACAAGGTTCCTTTGACACTTTGACAAGCTTGGAAAGTTTTTAAAGTGCTTGGCGAACAAAAACTTTTCACAATTCACATTCTGATAATGTTTTTAAATATACATAGATTGTAAAAAATGAGTTTTGAACGGCATATTGATCTCAATTTAACTAATAACTTTATCTAATAACTAATAATTTCAACTTTATCAAAATTCTTCATTAGTAAAAGAAAAACTTAGCTTGTAAACATCATAACTCAAAAAAGCATCTTTAAAATAGTATTAGATTGACAAATTAATAATGGCGCGTTTATGTAACAAATCATCAAAAAAAACACAAAAGAAGAGCTTTCAATTCGAAAGGTATTCTCCATTAGTATCTATGACTTCTTCCCATCTTCTGCGCAAATCCTGGATCCCTCGAAGAACTTGAGAGTTTTTGAGGCGAAGTAGTCATTTACTGCTTTTATGAATGACTATTTCGTGAATGACGTCATTCCTGAGCATAATCATCGAACTTTTCTCCCTCCAAAAAGTGCTTCAGCGAACCGAAAAAAAATAATCTGAAGGAGCCAGGGACTCCTTGGTCTCCAGGGGGTCCATCGCGTCCAGGGGCTCCAGGGGCACCAGGGAGTCCACCAGGGCAACGCTTGCAACCAGATCCCTGAACAAGTTCTGTAAAGTAATTATAGTTTTCTTACATCATCGTGTCCTTGTGGGGCTTGTCCGGGTGCTCCGGGCTCTCCACGGCCTCCAGGTGATCCAGGATATCCGTTCTCTCCGGGGCTTCCAGGGGGCCCTGGTGGTTCAGCGGGGCAGCTATTGTATGCGTCGCAAGAGCATTGTCCTCCGTATCCGCCACCTCCGCCACCGCCACCCGGAGAGTAAGGTGTGAGGGGCAGCACTTTCCAGCCAAGTTCCTCGATTTTCTTATAAGTGATCTTTACAGTGTGAGGTTTTGCATTGCAAAAATCTGACTCTCTCTTGAGCCCCAATTTCTTCAAAGACTCATTAACTCTCATTAATTGCTTCAAATAAAGATCAGCATCGACGGTTTGGTCAGGCTTCAGCACTTCATAATGCACCAATCCCTTGAAGTTCCACCAGCAACAGAGCATTATCTTCTTCCCATGGATATCCGGTTTGGATATGCGTGGTTTGCGGGGTCTGCCCAGTAGATAGCCATTGATTTTTGCGTTTAACGTTCTCGTTCAAAGACTCGTTAACTCTTATTAATTGCTTCGATTAAAGATCAGCATCGACGGTTTGGCCAGTTTGGCCTAAGCCTAAGCCTAAGCCTAAGCCTAAGCCTGAGCACACAGACCATTTTCAAGTTGCCAACCTAATACAATTTTACAAACAATAGATAAAGAAACATTTGAGCTTTTAGAAAATGTATAAAACTCTGTAGTTTTCATGGAAATTTTTCTCAGGAAAACAGTTTTATGAAATCGCAACAATATGCTTCTTTTAAAGCTAATTAGAAAATTCAGCTTTACAAAATTCCCTTTTTAGGTAATCTCGACAAAAACATTATCGAAAAAGAGCGGCGGTGGTGTGTCAAAGGTTGACTCGTTACTGTGACTTTGAAAACACTTACAGCTTTAGGTCAACATCAACAGTGGAATAGCAGAGCAGCTGTACAAAGGCGATATGATTCTCACAAAGTACGCATAACCCTTAAAAGCTTTTTATTAAGTAATTTAGTGAACAAATTGATATCCTTCTTCCGTCAGATGACTCAAATGGTAACAAATTTAATATCTATTTGGTTTGGTTCAGCCTTGGTTCAGATTTGGTTCAGATTTGGTTCAGATTTGATTCAGATTTGGTTCAGATTTGATTCAGCCTTGGTTCAGCCTTGGTTCAGCCTGGCTCAGATTTAGTTCAGATTGGTTCAGATTTGATTCAGATTGGGTTCAGATTTGATTCAGCCTTGGTTCAGCCTTGGCTCAGCCTTGGTTCAGCCTTGGCTCAGCCTTGGTTCAGCCTTGGTTCAGATTTGATTCAGCCTTGGTTCAGCCTTGGTTCAGCCTTGGTTCAGCCTTGGCTCAGATTTAGTTCAGATTTGGTTCAGATTTGATTCAGATTGGGTTCAGATTGATGAATTTTGCTACAATTTCAGCGACAGGACGAAAGAAACGTCAAGCACAAGCGCCAGCTCTTTTATGGGAAAATGATGGAACGACAAAGGTTTACTACGAGTTTGCTCCGTCGCTTACCCCTGCTGCAAAAGCCGCCGCTCAAGCTGGCATCAATTTTTGGCACAAATCAACTTGCATTGATTTTGTTCAATCAACCACTGCAACGTGAGTTCTTGAGACACAATTAAGTCCTTTCTGAGCCCAAACTTCGCAAGAAACAGACAAGATCTCAATTAGATTAGACCTTTTCACAAAAAACACTTCTGAATCTAGTTGATTGATATAATCTAGCGATTCAAATCTTCAATTCAAATCTGATTCAATTTTTCTTCTCATTGTAATCATTTTTGAATCGTGTTAAACTTCTTGTAAAGCTAAAGTAAAGCTTTTTAAGGTTCATTTTTCATTCCAGAAATCGAATCAAGTTCTTCCGAGGAAGCGGCTGTTTTTCGAATGTGGGAATGACTGGTGGTGTGCAAACGCTTTCACTTGGAGATGGTTGTGAAACGGTGAGGAAGAAAGCTTCTCAATATCATGTAGAATTTGAAAAGACAAGTAAAATGATGTAAATACATCTTGTAGATTTTGAAAAGACAAGTAAAATGATGTAAATATTAAGTGCTTTTCACCATTGTAAACACAACTTTTGCTAGGTAGCTAAGACGTTTTCAAAAGCCTTTTTGCAATAACTTGGTGGTCTAGTGATTAGTTGCAATGGTTAGTGGTTGTGTTAGTGCAATGGCTAGTGATTAGTTGCAATGGTTTATCAAGCGTAGGATCAGGGTTTAATCTTTTTTTAGCTTCTTTGTGAGCAATTGAAGCAATTGAGGCAAGCAAGCTATTGAAGCAAGCTATTGAAGCAAGCTATTGAAGGAAGCTATTGAAGCAAGCTATTGAGGCAAGCTATTGAAGCATTGAACCTCTAATCTCAAGCTATTGAACCTCTAGTCTCAAGAGAAAGGTAATAATATTGAAATAGCAGAGAGCAAAGACATCAAAGATTTCTTCAGCATTAAAATCTATTAGTTTAGATCCAGTATTAGTGATATAGTTAGATTTGTAAAGATTTTTAATATCAGATCGGTCATTCGACTCACGAGATCGGACACGCGCTCGGTTTCTGGCATACGCAGTCACGATGGGATCGTGACACTTATCTGAATGTGTATTTTGCGAAAATTCCCGCCGAATGGAGAGATCAATTCACAAAAGAGACGAAAACAACCAATACCAACTATGGAATGGTTTTTGTCTAGTTTATTTTCTTTTAAACTCCCCTTTAGCCTCATGATTATGGCAGTGTGATGCACTATGATGGAAATGAGCTTTCACCAAATGGACAAACCTACATGGTTACTAAGGTTAGTTCTCGATTCACTTCACAGCAATCAATCTCTGTTTAAGGCCACTTCATATCAAGACAATATGGGCTCCTATATTGTTGGTTTTTACGATGTAGCTATGATGAACACTCATTATAAATGCACCGGTGAGAATGGAATTCTAGCAACTGACTTCTGCGCTTCTAGCTCAGCGAGAACTCAATGAATCTATATGAAATTTTTGGAGATCATTTTTGAGAATATCTACTGTAGCCAAGCCAATTTTCTAACTTATTGATCATTCTAGAATCTTTATATGATCTTACAAAGTTAAACACTCATTATAAATGCACCGGTGAGAATGGAATTCTAGCGACGGACTTCTGCGCTTCTAACTCAGCGAGAATTCAATGAATCTATATGAAATTTTTGGAGATCATTTTTGAGAGTATCTGCTGCAGCCAAGCCAATTTTCTAACTTATTGATGATTCTAGAATCTTTATATGATCTTACAAAGTTAAGAGTCGCTGTACACTTGGCGAAGAAGCCAATTTAAGGCTTTTGAAAGCCGTTTTGGAAGTTATTTAATGAGAAATTGTTTTTTTTTCTTAAAATTTGACAAATTCCTTATGTTTTTTGATAAAAAAACATCAAAACAAGAAAAAAAAATCGATAATATCCTTTCAAAAAAGATTGATTGGATTTTTTTCTTTAATTTTCAAGTTCTCATATTTTTTTAGGAAATTTAAATCAAATTCACCGGGAAAAACGAATTTTTATAAAGCTTTCAATCTGTTTAAACCCTTTTTTTCTTCTTTAATCTGATTATATTTATTAAATAAGTTTAAAAACGGCTCTTAAAAGCCTTAGAATGGATTCTTCGCCAGGTGCACAGCGACTCTCAACTTTGTAAGATCATATAAAGATTCTAGAATCACCAAGGAGTTAGTAAATTGGCTTGGCTATAGAAGACATTCTCAAAAATCATCTCCAAAAATTTCATATAGATTCATTGAGTTCTCGCTGAGCTAAAAGCGCAGAAGTGAGCCGCTAAAAGTCGCGGTCATTCTGTAGAAAGTTTTATTTGATTTTGTTAATGATATTTAGCTAAATGCACAACGGGAGCCACTTGTCTGAATGGAGGAATTCGGAACTCGCGAGCTTGTAACACATGCCTTTGCCCAGCTGGATGGAGTGGCGCCACGTGTAACACAAGGGTGAGCTGTTCGTTGATCCAACACGAGAAATCAATAGTCTTTAGCTAACAATCCTAGCGTCTAGTTCTTTATTTTAGTTCTAGCTCCGGATTAAAACTGAGGATTTATAGCCAACCGGTTGCGGCTCATCGTTGACTGCTAAAGCAGCCGTTCAATCAATTACTATTGGTGCTGGAACTGCTGGAGTAAATCTTGTCGACTTCACCACATGCAATTACCTGATAACGGTATGAAACGAGTGAAATGAGACGTTTAAGTGACACTTTTCTAAGTCAAAATTTTATGGAGAATCGAAAGTTGCCATTTACGTGACGATCTAAGCAACTTTTCTTAAGAAAATGCTTAAGAATAGTCGCGGGCTTGTTTATTGTGATTTAGCAAGGCCCCAAGTCCATCAAATGCAGGGAAAACTGCATTTAAAAAATGATTTTATGATTTAAAATGATATTAACGATATTAAATTAAATATATTAGAAAATAAGGTTTTTAAGAAGCGAATTTTCGATGAAATTAAAAAAGGATGACTAGAGAATAAGTGGAATTTTGTAAAAAATGATTTTTTGACGCGCCACGCAGTTTAATCCTTTAAATTAACTTTAAATTAACTATAAATTAACTTTAAATTAACTATAAATTAGCTTTAAATTAGCTTTAAATTAACTATAAATTAACTATAAATTAACTATAAATTAACTATAAATTAACTATAAATTAACTATAAATTAACTATAAATTAGCTTTAAATTAACTATAAATTAACTATAAATTAACTATAAATTAACTTTAAATTAATAATAATAATACTTTATTTAAACGATAAAGTGAAAGAAATGATAGAGAAATGCACAGTGATACTTAATCATACAATACATACTGAAATCAATAAGCCAATTACTTACGGCAAAGAGCCACTAGATCTAAAGCATCGATACGTTTCTTGAATATGAAAACGACTGAATTTCTCGTATGTCGTTTGGGAGCAAGTTCCATAATCTAGCGGCTCTAACGGAAATGAATTTGATAAAGAGGCATTGGAAGCAAAGGGAATTTGCAAAAGGAATGAGCCACTTCTGGGCCCTGACCGCGGTTTAAATTTGAAAAAGTCTATAAACAAAGGGCTAATCTGTTTACAACGGAGGATTTTGAAAGTTTCGACTAAATCAATGAAAAGACGATGCTGTAAAGTTTTTAGTTCAAAAAAAGCAAGTCTCTCCTCATAAGTAAAGCTAGAATATTTAGAATAGTTAATAAAATTAACTATAAATTAACTATAAATTAACTATAAATTAACTTTAAATTAACTTTAGATTCGGAAAATTTACCTATTTTTACCCTAGAACATTGAGTTTTCTAAACTCAAATTTAATTTTTTAAAAATTTCCGATAGGATCCTTTTAAAACTTTGCTCTGACATTTTTTCAATTTTGCAATTACGATTTCCCGTTGTGAAATCGATTGAAAATCCCTTATTTTTAAGTTATTTCTTTGATTTATTACTTATTTTATAGCAAAAACTCTTTTTTTTTAGCGTTTTTTGTGTTTTTCTTAGCACCAACCCTTTGATTTTGACTATTTTAAATACCATTAGCTGCAGAATAAAATTATGCATCGAATGGTATCGAAATCAACTCAAAATCTAATATCCACGAAAAGTTGTTGACTAAAAACGTAAAGCTCGCTCATTATGGGCGGGGTTTAACGTTTTGCCGTTGGCAATTCAGGTTTTTTGTGTTTTTCTTGGCATCAAGTCTTCAATTTTGTCTATTTTAACGATCATTCGATGCAGAATCAAATTTCGCGTCGAATGATACCAAAACCAACTCAAAATATAATATCCACCAAAAGTTGTTGGCTAAAAACCTAAACCTCACTCATTATAAGAAATTTTCGAAATGGCGGCCATCGGCCTTAATACCAGCGTCGATTCTTTTGGGTAATGGGGCAACGGTGCGGCGCAAGGAAGCTAAATCGTCCCATCCCTTGATAAGAGCTTTCTTCAAGATATCCAAATAGTTGATTTTCCGTGTCCTCAAACGCTCTTCCAAGTATCGCCATACTGAAAAGTCCAATGGGTTAAGATCCGGACTGTTTGAAGACCACTGATCCTTGGTCAGATTTGATTTCCCTTTGGCGTGAGCGTAGGTGCCAACTAAATGCGTCACTAAATAATCAATGACGAAAATCATTAAAAAAAGAAATCTAGGGCCCAGTGGGAAGCAGCAACCTTTTGATTTTGACTATTTTAACTACCATTCGATGCAGAATCAAATTTCGCGTCGAATGATACTAAAACCAACTCAAAATCTAATATCCACGAAAAGTTGTTGACTAAAAATGTAAACCCGGCGGGATTTAACGTTTTGCCGTTGGCAATTAGGGTTTTTTTGGGTTTTTCTTAGCACCAACCCTTTGCTTTTGACTATTTTGACTATCATTCGATGCAGAATCAATTTCCGCATCGAATGATACTAAAATCAATTCAAAATCTAATATCCACGAAAAGTTGTTGGCTAAAAACGTAAAGCTCGCTTATTAAGGGCGGGGTTTAACCGTTGGCAATCGGGTTTTTTTGTGTTTTTCTTAGCACCAACCCCTAAAAAAAGAAATCTAGGGCCCAGTGGGGAAAAAGCTCGAAATTGTGATTGCGACAATGAATGGTTATGAGTGTTTGAATGGATGTTTCGACAATGGAATTGAAATCAAATCAATTGCTGACCATCGTTACACGGGAATTCGGTGTGTTTGAGAAATGAAAATGATGAGAATGATGAGAATGATGAGAACATTTGTAGGAAATGTTGTTCGGAGGATACGGGCACGAAAATCGTCTCCCAAAAGCACATTGTTCCAATCATCGCCTTCACACGATTCAATCGACAAACGGCTCGCATCACGTATCGTTGGGGTTTATCTTTTACATTTTCCCTTTTCAATCAACAATTTACAGTTGAATCGACTGTTGCTTCGACAGCAACTACAGCGCAGATTCCAGCCACAAAACCAAGCTATTAAAAGAAATTTAAAAGAATAGGAAATGATTGGGATAAAGAAAATAAATTTTTTGAACTTGTTGATCCATTGAGGCTGGTTTCTTTGTTAGTTAAACAAGAAAAAAAAGCTCTTTTTTTGAGCTATCTTCGCATTTAGGTGTTCCTATTTTGCGCAGATCAAAACTTGCTTCCACATTTCTCTATCCCTTGCTCTAGTCATCCAGTATTTCCTATCTTGGTTGTTCCTGGTTCGAAGTCTTCGACTTGCTCGTGCTGGTGGTGATTGCATTCTAGCCATCCTTTCTCTGACCGTCTCTGCCACTCTTGTGCTCCACCTCGTTGCTGGTCTTCTGGTCTTCTGGTTGCTGGGCCTCTTCTGGTCTCGTGGTAGCCACTCTGTGATCCGTGTCGTCCATCTGTCTGTTCTTCTGGCTACGCGGCCGGCCCATCTGAGTCTTTTTCTCTCGATCACTTCCACTGGATCTCTGAGTCCCGAGAGCTGGCGCATATCCGTACATCTTAGGTCTTGGTCGAGCTGCGTCTTCCTATTGTGGAGGTTCCTTTCAAGGGCTCGATGCGTCGTTCTCAGGGCTCGTTCGGTGGTCAGTGTCGTTCTCAGGGCTCATTCGGTGGTCAGTGTCGTTCTCAGGGCTCGTTCGGTGGTCAGTGTCGTTCTCAGGGCTCGTTCAGTGGTCTGTGTCGTGGCCCAGGTCTCTGTCAAAAGCTCTCTTCTAAACTCAAATTCAAATCTCAAAACTAAAAAGCCTTTAAAACAAATCTTGTTTGCCTGTTTGCCTGTTTGCCGGCAAAACAAATCTTGTTTTGTTTCTTTGCGTCGTTTCTTTGCGTTTCTTTCGATGGAATCTATTTTCGAAAAACGTTGAAAGAAAGAAAGAAAGAAAGAAAGAAAGAAAAAGAAAGCAATCAATTATGGAGAGAATTAAATAATGCAAAGAGTTGTGAAAAAAGAAGTCCCAAACGTGCAACAGATTTCTCTAATCCAATTTGAACAGCTCTTCAGCATTTTAAAGTTTTCACCTTTCTTCTCAACCTTTCTTCTCACAATTCTGCTTTTTTATCATTTGTGTTTGTTTTTCAAGACTTTAGATAAAGACTTTAGATAAAGATTTGGTCATTTAAGCCAACTTCTCAGCATCAAACGAATCTCGTGACTCGTGGACTCAAAATATATTGTATTGTACTGAAAATAAGGTTTTTAAGAAGCGAATTTTCGATGAAATTAAAAAAGGATGACTAGAGAATAAGTGGAATTTTGTAAAAAATGATTTTTTGACGCGCCACGCAGTTTAATCCTTTAAATTAACTATAAATTAACTATAAATTAACTATAAATTAACTATAAATTAACTATAAATTAACTATAAATTAACTATAAATTAACTATAAATTAACTATAAATTAACTATAAATTAACTATAAATTAACTATAAATTAACTATAAATTAGCTTTAAATTAACTATAAATTAACTATAAATTAACTATAAATTAACTTTAAATTAATAATAATAATACTTTATTTAAACGATAAAGTGAAAGAAATGATAGAGAAATGCACAGTGATACTTAATCATACAATACATACTGAAATCAATAAGCCAATTACTTACGGCAAAGAGCCACTAGATCTAAAGCATCGATACGTTTCTTGAATATGAAAAGCGACTGAATTTCTCGTATGTCGTTTGGGAGCAAGTTCCATAATCTAGCGGCTCTAACGGGAAATGAATTTGATAAAGAGGCATTGGAAGCAAAGGGAATTTGCAAAAGGAATGAGCCACTTCTGGGCCCTGACCGCGGTTTAAATTTGAAAAAGTCTATAAACAAAGGGCTAATCTGTTTACAACGGAGGATTTTGAAAGTTTCGACTAAATCAATGACAAAGCGACGATGCTGTAAAGTTTTTAGTTCAAAAAAAAGCAAGTCTCTCCTCATAAGTAAAGCTAGAATATTTAGAATAGTTAATAAAATTAACTATAAATTAACTATAAATTAACTATAAATTAACTTTAAATTAACTTTAGATTCGGAAAATTTACCTATTTTTACCCTAGAACATTGAGTTTTCTAAACTCAAATTTAATTTTTTAAAAATTTCCGATAGGATCCTTTTAAAACTTTGCTCTGACATTTTTTCAATTTTGCAATTACGATTTCCCGTTGTGAAATCGATTGAAAATCCCTTATTTTTAAGTTATTTCTTTGATTTATTACTTATTTTATAGCAAAAACTCTTTTTTTTAGCGTTTTTTGTGTTTTTCTTAGCACCAACCCTTTGATTTTGACTATTTTAACTACCATTAGCTGCAGAATAAAATTTCGCGTCGAATGATACCAAAACCAACTCAAAATCTAATATCCACGAAAAGTTGTTGACTAAAAACGTAAAGCTCGCTCATTATGGGCGGGGTTTAACGTTTTGCCGTTGGCAATTCAGGTTTTTTGTGTTTTTCTTGGCATCAAGTCTTCAATTTTGTCTATTTTAACGATCATTCGATGCAGAATCAAATTTCGCGCCGAATGATACCAAAACCAACTCAAAATATAATATCCACCAAAAGTTGTTGGCTAAAAACCTAAACCTCACTCATTATAAGAAATTTTCGAAATGGCCGCCATCGGCCTTAATACAAGCGTCGATTCTTTTGGGTAATGGGGCAACGGTGCGGCGCAAGGAAGCTAAATCGTCCCATCCCTTGATAAGAGCTTTCTTCAAGATATCCAAATAGTTGATTTTCCGTGTCCTCAAACGCTCTTCCAAGTATCGCCATACTGAAAAGTCCAATGGGTTAAGATCCGGACTGTTTGAAGACCACTGATCCTTGGTCAGATTTGATTTCCCTTTGGCGTGAGCGTAGGTGCCAACTAAATGCTTCACTAAATAATCAATGACGAAAATCATTAAAAAAAGAAATCTAGGGCCCAGTGGGAAGCAGCAACCTTTTGATTTTGTCTATTTTAACGATCATTCGATGCAGAATCAAATTTCGCGTCGAATGATACTAAAACCAACTCAAAATCTAATATCCACGAAAAGTTGTTGACTAAAAACGTAAACCCGGCGGGATTTAACGTTTTGCCGTTGGCAATTAGGGTTTTTTTGGGTTTTTCTTAGCACCAAGCCTTTGTTTTTGACTATTTTAACTATGATTCGATGCAGAATCAAATTTCGCATCGAATGATACTAAAACCAACTCAAAATCTAATATCCACGTAAAGTTGTTGGCTAAAAACGTAAAGCTCGCTTATTAAGGGCGGGGTTTAACCGTTGGCAATCGGGTTTTTTTGTGTTTTTCTTAGCACCAACCCCTAAAAAAAGAAATCTAGGGCCCAGTGGGGAAAAAGCTCGAAATTGTGATTGCGACAATGAATGGTTATGAGTGTTTGAATGGATGTTTCGACAATGGAATTGAAATCAAATCAATTGCTGACCATCGTTACACGGGAATTCGGTGTGTTTGAGAAATGAAAATGATGAGAATGATGAGAATGATGAGAACATTTGTAGGAAATGTTGTTCGGAGGATACGGGCACGAAAATCGTCTCCCAAAAGCACATTGTTCCAATCATCGCCTTCACACGATTCAATCGACAAACGGCTCGCATCACGTATCGTTGGGGTTTATTGGCTTTTACATTTTCCCTTTTCAATCAACAATTTACAGTTGAATCGACTGTTGCTTCGACAGCAACGACAGCGCAGATTCCAGCCACAAAACCAAGCTATTAAAAGAAATTTAAAAGAATAGGAAATGATTGGGATAAAGAAAATAAATTTTTTGAACTTGTCGATTCATTGAGACTGTTTTCTTGGTCAAGAAAACAAGAAAAAAGCTCTTTTTTTGATTTCTCTTTGCACTTAGGTGTTCCTATTTGCGCAGATCAAAACCTGCATTTCTCTATCCCTTGCTATTGTCATCCAGTGTTTCCTATCTTCGTTGTTCCTGGTTCGAAGTCTTCGACTTCCTTGTTCTGGTGGTAGTTGCACTTTAGCCATCCTTTCTCTGACGATCTCTGCCACTCTTGTGCTCCACCTCGTTGCTAGTCTTCTGGTCTTCTGGTTGCTGGGCCTCTTCTGGTCTCGTGGTAGCCACTCTGTGATCCGTATCGTCCATCTGTCGTCTGTTCTTCTGGCTTCTGGCTTCTAGCTTCTGGCTTCTATTAGGTTGATGCATAAGTCTTTTCGTTCCTTTTCGTCTGCCGTTTCAAGCCAACAAATGCACCAATTAAACTACGGTTGATTTCATTAGAAGAACCAATTATTTTTCTGCAAAATAACATTAAAACGGGTTTAAAAATATTTAATGCCTGGATTTTCTTGAGAGTATGAAGTCGGGTAGTCAAAAAGGGCTAACTCGATGCGGTTTAGATGCGGTTTAGACACCTTAGCTAAAGAAAACCTATCTTCGTGTCAATAGATAAAAGATAGAGAAAAAAAGTTTGATATTTCGCCAAAATTTCAGAGAAATTCATTCAGCCAATTTTTCCGTAGAGTTTTTTATAGATTTTTACGAAAAAGGCGTTTTTCACTCTCGAATTTGCTTAAAAGTGAACCGAAATTCATTTAAAAAGATGGAAATTGAACAAAAAAAACACTTTTTTTATAGAGCAAACTATAGATTAATTGGTGAATTTGTTACTTTTTAACAGAAGTACGAAAAAAATGAAAAAGACTTTTGCATCAACCTAATAGCTTCTGGCTTCTGGCCGGCCCATCTGAGTCTTTTTCTCTCGATCACTTCCACTGGATCACTGAGTCCCGAGAGCTGGCGCATATCCGTACTTCTTAGGTATTGGTCGAGCTGCGTCTTCCTATTGTGCCCGAGGAGGTTCCTTTCAAGGGCTCGATGCGTACTCAGTGCTCGTTCGGTGGTCTGTGTCGTGGCCCAGATCTCTGTCCCATAACAGAGTGCTGGGAGGACGGTGCTGTCGAAGAGGTGTGCCCGAGTGCTCTGGTGATTCTTGAGTATCTTTGTGACTTCTTTGATGCTTCCTAGTGCTGTCCAGGCCACTCGTCTTCTTCTGGCAACTTCTGGTCTTAGGTCTCTCTCCATGTTGATGCCTCTGTGTCGTGGCCTAGGTCTCTGTCAAAAGCTCTCTTCTAAACTCAAATTCAAAGCTCAAAGCTAAAAAGGCTTTAAAACAAACTAAAATCGCTTTACTGAGTAGATTTTACGAAAGTATTTTAAGTGTTACAGTGTCTATTGTCAGTTCAACTTTCATTCGGAATTTCTCGATGATTTTGATGGCTTGGGAGTCATCAAATTCATCGAGAAAGGATACTATCGGCTTCACGAGCCGATTCCCGTAAGTAACTCCATCTTGGCGAAACTATGAGTGAATCAGATCCGGATTGAAATAGTTTAGGCAGAAAACAAATACAAGCTGTCGATCTGATCTCAATCTTTTTGTTTCTAGTACCTTTTCAAGCTAGAAGCTAGAAGCTAGAAGCTCAAAGGTAGAAGCTAAAAGCTAAAAGCTCATCCCACTCACTTCTCTAGCTGTTCCAACACTTTATTATTGAATGATTCTCTAATCACACTGATTATATTGATCAAAGGAAAGTTTAACAACAACTGATAATCTTATAAGATCTTCCGCTAAACAACTTTTTCTTTTATTATCAAACTATTCTCAATTTTCATGGAACTTCGATCTCTGCAACGATTTTGAAACAAAAAACCCGTATCTAATGCTTTTTTTTGATAGATTTATTATTGACATTAAAACTTGAATAAAAGAAGAATTGCAATGAGAGTCGAGATCGGGAAAAGCAATGACAATTGATTCGTCGAATTGCACTTCTCTTTATCGCAACAGTAGAGTTTTCCCGTGTCTCCGGCATCGTTTTTCACATTCTTTGTTTCCTCTTTCTAGAACAAACTTTTATTTTCGTTTTTAAAAAAACATTATTTTGTTTATTGTAAATTTATGCAATCACTATAATTTCTACTTATTATATTTTTTTTGGACCAGTTTTTTCAAAACAAATTCCCTTCAACAAGAATCTTTAAGCGCTAAATCTTTCAAAAGCAAGATATAAATGTTGTAAACAACATTTAGAATATAAACATTGGGTTGGTGAATTGAAAACTGCCGGCGATTGTCATATGTGACCGTCTGAGCACTTTCTTCAAAAGAAACCCATTTTGGTGTCAATGGAAAAGTTGTAGAGAATCAAAAATTAAGCTTATATCCAAATTTTCAGAACGATTCAAAAACTGGTTTTCAAGAAATGCCAAATTTATGAATTTTCACAAAACTTGCATTTTAAGCGAAACTACTAAGTGTATCTTTTTGGAAATTTGACTATAAGCCTAATTTTTGATCCTCTACAACTTTTTTATTGACACCAAAATGGGATTCTTTTGAAGAAAGTGCTCAAACTGGGCTGACAGCTGACATCTCCAGTCCTCCATTTTTGAGTCTCAAACTTGTCTCACATACAAACCAAGATCCTACTACGAAAGAGGAATACGCAAATTGCCTGTAAAATGGGCAGAAGTCGTCAATAATAATGGAAATTATTTGGAATGAATTCATGGTTTTATGTTGAATAAATTTTAGTTCAAAGTCCCGCAGTTTTCAATTCACCAACCTAATAGTATCAAATGAAAAGCGCTGGAGCTATCAATACGCGTTTTAGTGTGTCCAAAATGGAGATGATAATTGTTTTTTTGCGTTAAATAGTTAAATATTAAATAAATTGTGTCCCTCGTTGACTCTATTTATCAAAAGAAACATCTATTACTAATAAAGTTCGGCGAGCATCTAAGCTTTTGATTTTCCCACGTTTTCTGGGGTAATCGATGACGCTGATCACGAATTTGATGTTTAGAACTAATGTTTTCAATTCACTTTTCGAGTTATTGACTTGTAAATAACTATAGAGAAGGTTAAGTTCCCAAAAATTTCATGTTTTTTAAATGAAAATCGCACATTTTGTATGCAAATCACTCAGAATTAACCAAAAAAATTTACCGTGCACGTGTAATCACGACCAGCGATGTCTTTTTCATCACCTCCACAGCCGCATCCCCACACAGAGATCGTGTTTTTTGAGCCCTAAACCAAAAATATTTTCTTTTACTTTTTTTTGAAATTTATTAAATTAAACTAACAAGCGAAGGTCAAGCGGTCGAGGTGACCAAATGGCATGTTCTATATACTAGACATGTGCACTCGGTCCGGTCCTCGGTTCGATTTTCGGTCTCGGTTCGGCCCGGACCAAGAACGGACCAAAAAATTGGGCTTTGGTCCAGCCCGAACCGAGAGCGGACCGGCTGATACGAACCGAGTGCACACGTCTACTATATACCATTCGATGCAGAATTTCACCCTCGTTCCGAAGATCGTTTCATTTTTTGCTATGCGCTACCCTAGTGTTCGCTCCCCAACTCTTAATTTTTCGGTCTGATCTCGGTCCGGAACTGACCAAAGCCCCAACTTTTTAGTCCGATCTCAGTCCAAGTGGGCAAGGTGGCCAAATGACATGTACTATAGATCAGTCCGTTCTATAGTACATGTCATTTGGCCAGCTTGCCGACTCGATCTCCCCTTGTAAGTTTAATTTGATTGAACGAATGGGCTTGTGTGAGAGTATAAGCAAAACAAGAAGAACAGACAAGTACCAGCCTTGAATTTCCCGGTAATCTTCGCACAATACTTGCAGCCATCCGCACAGTCGATCACCGCTTGCTAAATAAAATTGATTGATCTTGATTTTAAGGAGAATTGATATTCAATTTCAAATTGTTTTTGTATAGCTTACAGCACTCGTCGGTGCCTGTCCATTCCGATTCAAATCGATATAGCATTGGAAGGCCAGGGAAACGCTGAGAAAACCACAGAAAAGAATGAAAGCTTGCATTTTATTCTGAAAAAAAAACTGTTTAGAGTAAAAGATTGATAAGTAAAACAGTGAAACGATGAAATTTTGAAAAACGAAACTTTTGTGCTAGGGAAATGACTTAATTCCTCTAATCGGAAAGATAATGAGAAGAATTATATACTAAATTTTAGACTCAACTCTTGTCCAAACGTGTCAATGATCAACTCCAATCTGGGCAACTCCAAGATCAAAATGTGAATCAAAATAATTACACTCAGCTACCGGACTCGAACCGGAGAGCTCTCACCTCTATGCCTTCCAACTCACTACCACTCGACCAACGCTACAACTGGTCACCTCGCGGAAGACAGGGTTGTAATATTGATACAACTTGATACTCCTTACAGAACCTTAAACGCCTATAGCTTTTGAAAGAGCGCTCCGTAGAAAAAAGACAAGCAGTATCATGATCAGTGTGAAATTCTGCGTCAAACGGTGTATGGCTTATGCCATTTGGCTAACTTAATCTGAAACTTGACTTGACTTAATCCGAAACCGCATCCAATCACTAAATTTAGTTAGGATCGTGATCTAGCCCAAGGATCTGTATGATTTGTAGCTAGTCCAGGGCTTAGGCCAAGGCTTAGGCCAAGGCTTAGGCCAAGGCTTAGGCCAAGGCTTAGGCCAAGGCTTAGGCCAAGGCTTAGGCCAAGGCTTAGGCCAAGGCTTAGGCCAAGGCTTAGGCCAAGGCTTAGGCCAAGGCTTAGGCCAAGGCTTAGGCCAAGGCTTAGGCCAAGGCTTAGGCCAAGGTTTGGGCCAGGGCGTCTTCAGGTATGTGTTTGAAATTGAATTGAACAGTTCTGTCCAATTCAATTTCGATTAGATCAAATGTTTTTATTGACTCATTAGTTGACTCATTGACAACAGTGTGATGAATCGTTTTCTCCTTTTGAGTCTTCTTTTCAGTTCGTTTTCGGAAACACATCTTTAACGATTTTGAAACAAAAAACCCGTCTCTAATGCTTTTTTTTGATAGATTTATTATTGACATTAACTTGAAATTTGACACTTGAAAAAAAGAAGAATTGCAATGAGAGTCGAGATCGGGAAAAGCAATGACAATTGATTCGTCGAATTGCACTTCTCTTTATCGCAACAGTAGAGTTTTCCCTTGTCTCCGGCATCGTCTTTCACACTCTGTGTTCCCTTTTTCTAGGACAAATTTTTATTTTCATTTTTTTAAAACATTATTTTCTTTATTGTAAATTTGTGCAAGCACTATAATTTCTACTTATTATATTTTTTTGGACCAGTTTTTTCAAAACAAAGTCCCTTCAACAAGAATCTATAAGCGCTAAATCTTTCAAAAGCAAGATATCAATGTAAATAACAAAGTAAATAACAAAGTAAATAACATTTAGAATATAAATAGTATCAAATGAAAAGCGCTGGAGCTATCAATATGCGTTTTAGTGTGTCTAAAATTGAGATGATAGTTGTTTTTTTTGTGTTAAATAGTTAAATATTAAATAAATTGCGTCCCTCGTTAACTCTATTTATCAAAAGAAACATCTATTACTAATAAAGTTCGGCGAGCATCTAAGCTTTTGATTTTTCCACGTTTTTTGGGGTAATCGATGACGCTGATCACGAATTTGATGTTTAGAAAACATCTTTTCAATTCACTTTTCGAGTTATTGACTTGTAAATAACTATAGAGAATTTTAAGTTCCTAAAAATTTCATGTTTTCTACATGAAAATCGCACATTTTGTATGCAAAGCACTCAGGATTAATCAAAAAATTTACCGTGCACTTGTAACCGAAAACCCAGGGGAGGTCATATTCACCTCCACAGCCGCATCCCCAAAGAGAGCCCTTGTCTTTTGAGCCCTAAACGAAAAATATTTTCTTTTACTTTTTTTGACATTTATTAAATTAAACTAACAAGGGAAGGTCGAGCAGACAAGGTGGCCAAATGACATGTGCTATATACTAGGCATGTGTACTCGGTCCAGTCCTCGGTCCCGTTTTCGGTCTCGGTCCGGTCCGGACCGAGACCCGACCGAAAAATTGGGCTTTGGCCCGACCCGGACCGAGATCGGACTGAAAAGTTGGGGCTTCGGTCCGGCCCAGACCGAGAACCGACCGACTGATACGAACCGAGTGCACATGTCTTCTGTCTATATATAATTCGACGCAAAATTACACGCTGATTCCGAATATGGTTTCAGTTTTTGCTATGCGCTACCTAACAAAAGTTATATGAGAAGAACGAGATAGTGTTCGCTTCAAACGCTTCATTTTTCGGTTTGATCTCGGTTCGGGCCGGGTCAATGTCCCAACTTTTCAGTCCTATCTCGTTCCGGTCCAGGTGTTCTTTGTACGCGCGTACAATTGCAAGTAGGCTCAAAAAGGCCTTGTAAAACTTGTAAAACTTTAAACTCGTATAACTTTTGATAAGGTAGCGCATAGCAAAAACTGAAACCATATTCAGAATCGGGGGGTAATTTTGCGTCGAATTGTATATAGCAAATGTCGTTTGACCACTTTGCTCACTTGATCTACCCTTGTAAGCTGATTGAACGAATAGGTTTGTGTTAGAGTTTAAGCAAAAAAAACAAGAAGAACAGACAAGTACCAGCCTTCAATTTCCCGGTAATCTTCGCACAATACTTGCAGCCATCCGCACAGTCGATCGCAGTTTGCTAAATAAAATTGATTGATCTTGATTTTAAGGAGATTTGATATTCAATTTAAAATTGTTTTTGTATAGCTTACATCACTCGTCGGTGCCTCTCCATTCGGATTCTCATCGACATAGCATTGGAAGGCCAGGGAAACACTGAGAAAACCACAGAAAAGAATGAAAGCTTGCATTTTTTTCTGAAAAAAATTGTTTAGAGTAAAATATTGATAAGTAAAACAGTAGAAGAAGTAGATAAAGTCTAAAATTTTAAAGTTTATTTATCAATTTTAAATAAAAATCATCTTCTACCATCGATATTTTCTGTTTTTTAGAAAGTTTTAAACTTAACTTTTCTAGATTTAGGCTAATGTAGCTAATCTAATATAGCTAATCTACTGTAGTTAAGCTACTATAGCTAGTCTACTATGGCTAGTCTACTATGGCTAATCTACTATAGCTAGTCTACTATAGCTAATCTACTACATTTCTATGAAACGTTTAATTTAAGAAATTTTAGTATAAACTTGAAAAAAAATTATGGAGAAATGTCAAACCAAAAAGTACCCTCCTCTCCGATTCAAGAGAAGGTCCAAAAAGGTTTGCTGGACTTAAAATGACACTTTCTCATTTCAATTCAAAACCAACACCTTTGAGTCGTGAATTAATTGCAATTTTATCAATGATTCACCGCCAAGAGAGACACCAAGTTCTTCATAAAATGAAAAACCCATTGTTTTGTGTATTTTAACGCGAATTTTATGCGATCGGAAAGCCTTTGTGATAAAAGATCAAAAAAAATCAAAATTTCATCAAGAGAAGACCAATTTTCATAAAAGTTTGCACTAAAAGTGTCTGCTTATTTTGAAATTGATCCCAAGTTTTCTTCAATTTGAAAATGGTCATTTCGTAAAGGCAAACAAAGTCCAATCATATTGTAGCCTTAGCCAAATTTTAGTGTTAAAATGGATGAAATTTGCGTGAATGCTTTGCCCAATGCTAAGCAAATGATAATTTCAAATTAAAGATCAACTTTAGATTTTGTGTTTAATTGGATTGAAGAGTTCTGTTTAATTGGATTGAACAATTCTGTTTGATTGAATTGAAGAGTTCAGTTCAGTTCAATTCAATTTCAATTAGATCAAATGTTTGTATTGACTCATTACAGAGTGACCATTACCGCAACACAGAAAAGGCCTGGCTTTTAACCAAATTAACCATTAACCAAATTAACCATTAACCAAATTAACCATTAACCAAAGCAACCATTAACCAAAGCAACCAAACAAAGCCCAACCGACCAAACAACCAGACCGACCACAGAACCAAAACCAAAGCCAGCACAGCATAACGAACCACAACATTACGCCGAACCAACAACCATTAACCAAAGCAACCATTAACCAAAGCAACCATTAACCAAAGCAACCCATCTCGAAAAGTTAACTTAAATATCTTTATTCAACATATAACAGTAACAAATTAACAATTAAATTCAAATTTGCCTCCATCGGCTTTCAGAATGCAAACGTTTGAGAAACGCGTTGACCGTGGCGAGCAAATAGGCATCATCGAGGGTATCCCATGCTTTGATGAGCTTCGAGTTTGAATGGGATACCCATCGAGGGTATCCCACTCAAACTTTCAATATTTTTATGTGGTTTTGCACATGCCCTGGCTTCAAGAACACTCCAGACTGAGTAATCCAATGAGTAGCTGATAGTAATTGAGATTTGTTCTTCTTGTACGGCTTCATTTTCAGCTTTTTCTTGATGATTGTGTTGACGGAGTTTCTCTTCAGACCCATTTTCGGTGCCATTCCTCGAGCCGATTGGTTAGGGTTTAATCTTAGACGATCGCGCACTTTTTTGACATTAGCCGGAGTAACCGCTGTTCGTTTCCGCTCTTCCAGGGCGATCAGCTCAATTGAATTGAACAGTTCTGTTCAATTCAATTTCAAATGTTTTTATTGACTCATTGACAACAGTGTGATGAATCGTTTTCTCCTTTTGAGTCTTCTTTTCAGTTCGTTTTCAAAAACACATCTCGAACGATTTTGAAATAAAAAACCCGTATCTAATGTTTTTTGACAGATTTATTATTGCCATTAATTTGAGACTTGACACTTGAAAAAGAGAAGAATTGCAATGAGAGCTGAGATCGGGAAAAACAATGATCGTCGATTGGCAAATGACGACAATTCATCCGTCAAATTGCACTTCTCTTTATCACAACAGTAGAGTTTTCCCATGTCTCCGGCATCGTCTTTCACACTCCTGGTTCCCTTTTTCTAGAACAAACTTTTATTTTCATTTTTTCAAAACATTATTTTCTTTATTGTAAATTTGTGCAATCACTATAATTTCTACTTTTTATATTTTTTGGACCAGTTTTTTAAAATAAATTCCCTTCAACAAAAATCTATAAGCGTTAAATCTTTCAAAAGCAAGATATCAATGTAAATAACAAAGTAAATAACAAAGTAAATAACAAAGTAAATAACAAAGTAAATAACAAAGTAAATAACATTTAGAATATAAATAGTATCAAATGAAAAGCGCTGGAGCTATCAATATGCGTTTTAGTGTGTCTAAAATTGAGATGATAGTTGTTTTTTTGTGTTAAATAGTTAAATATTAAATAAATTGCGTCCCTCGTTAACTCTATTTATCAAAAGAAACATCTATTACTAATAAAGTTCGGCGAGCATCTAAGCTTTTGATTTTTCCACGTTTTCTGGGGTAATCGATGACGCTGATCACGAATTTGATGTTTAGAACACACGTTTTCAATTCACTTTTCGAGTTATTGACTTGTAAATAACTATAGAGAATTATAATTTCCTAAAAATTTCATGTTTTTTAAATGAAAATCACGCATTTTGTATGCAAAGCACTCAGGATTAATCAAAAAATTTTCGAACCAACACCTTTGCGTTGTGATTTAATTGCAATTTTATCAATGATTCACCGCCAAGAGAGACACCAAGTGCTTTATAAAATGAAAAACTCATTATTTTGTTATTTTAATGCGGATTTTAATTGATCTTTCCGCCTTTGTGACAAGAGAACAAAAAAAATCAAAATTTAGTCTATTGTCAGTACAACTTTCGTTCTGAATTTCTCGATGATTTTGATGATTTGGGAGCCGAAACGATACTATCGTAAGTCACCGGCTTCACGAGCCGATTCCCGTAAGTAACTCCATCTCGGCGAAACTAAGAGCGAATCAGATCCGGATTGAATTAATTTAAGCAGAAAACAAATACAAGCTGTCGATCTGATCTCAATCCTTTTTTTTCCTGGAACCTTTTCACCTGAACAATCAGATTACAATGAAAAGAGAACTCCTCTTCATTGTACCAATCGATAGCGGAATCTCGAAATCATTTATCCCGTTGGCGCCGTATTGGAAAAAAATAAAAACCGTATTGGAACCGTCTTCAACCGTATTTCAACAGTATTGGATCCGTATTGGAATTGTATTGGAACCGTGTTGGAACCGTGTTGGAACCATATTGGAACAAAATAAGAACCGTATTGGAACCGTATTGGATCCGTATTGGAATCGTATTGGAACCGGGTTGGAACCATATTGGAACAAAGTAGAAATCGTATTGGAACCGTCTTCAACCGTATTTCAACAGTATTGGATCCGTATTGGAATTGTATTGGAACCGTGTTGGAACCGTGTTGGAACCATATTGGAACAAAATAAGAACCGTATTGGAACCGTATTGGATCCGTATTGGAATCGTATTGGAACCGGGTTGGAACCATATTGGAACAAAGTAGAAATCGTATTGGAACCGTCTTCAACCGTATTTCAACAGTATTGGATCCGTATTGGATCCGTATTGGAATCGTATTGGAACCGTGTTGGAACCATATTGGAACAAAATAAGAACCGTATTGGAGCCGGCTTGGAATCGTATTTGCTACATTTCACATACATCAATTGGCTCTCATTCTAATACATCTCAATCGATTCGCATCCGTCTGATTTCCAATAACTCATTCACAGGTTTGCTAAAGTGTCAAAGAAGAAATGAATAGAGAATTTGTCTATAGATAATTGAGAGCTGTCTGTCTGTCTGTCCGTCCCTCTATTCGTTCATGGATTTTTGCAGATCTAAGCAGTAGATCGAATCCAGACCGCGGAATATTTCTTCCTTTTTTGTTCTATTGGGTGAATTTATACTAATAATCGAATCGAATAGTACTAATTTTAAAAGAAATCTTTAAAAAACTCAAAAGTTGAACAAAGACAAAGAAAAAAGTGTTTGGAAGAACAGAATTTAGTCGAGAATGGTGCTAGGAAACAGTTTATTATTGAAAAAAAGGGAAGAACAAAAAAAGTTTGGGAGAAATAACAGAGAAAGGAATTCTTTTTACCGGAGCTTTGGAAGAACCTTTGAAAAAAGAACCGGAGTTTTGAAATGGATGGGGAAAAGACGAGCTTTCGTATGCAAGTTTATAAATGCTAATTTCCAAGCTTAATGCAAATGTTAACAAAGCAAATAGCCCAGCTGGTACCTGGAGTAATTTAAGAGATCATTTAACAGAGACACTTTCAGATTTGGACACCGCTTCACTTTCGAATCGCCATCTCAGCATTCCTCTTTGGCTATGGCTGTTGTTATGAGAACTTTTTTGTTACCGGCTATTATCTCGGCAGCTGGGTTCTCGTACAATCCTACAAGGACTTTTGAGGTAACAAGAAATCCTTTCAGATAGTCTTGCAGAAGAGATCAAATTGTACAAATATTGCTTTTGGTTTATCGCAGAACCTGCTTTGCTGAAAACCTGAAACAAAAACCTAAAAAATAGTATTTATTAGGTTGGCGACATTGAAATTTCGTTTTTGAGCAACAACAAAATTTATTCGTAAAAATAAACTGGAGACAATTAATCAACAATATATTCCCCACAGCTATCAATAACATTTTTCCATCTTTTACACAAATTATGGATTCCCTCTTGAAAGAATTGTCCTGGTTTTAATTGAAAGAAAGCAGAGACCCATTTTTTGATGTCGTCAATGTCCTGGAACTTGTGGCCTTCGACTGAATGCTACAAACTTCGAAATAATGGTAGTCAGATGGAGCAATATCTGGACTATAAGGCGGATGAACTGGAAGTTCCCAGCCCAATCGCTCAATTTTCTCTTGCGTAATTTTGGCAACATGAGGACGAGCATTGTCGTGTAACAACCGCACTGTTGTCGGATCAATTCCTTTTGAGCGAAGAACCGCGTTCACGCGATCTAGTTGTTGAACGTAAAGATTTGCATCAACAGTCTGACCAGAAATTAACACTTCGAAATGAACCAGACCTCGGGTATTCCACCAAACCGACAGCATAAATTTCTTTCCGTGAAAATCCGGTTTAGGTATTGGCCTTGGAATTTCACCCGGGTCGAGCCATTGTCTTTTCCTTGTAATATTGTCATAATGAATCCATTTCTCATCAGCAGTTAAAATTGAAATTTAGAATGAAATTAAAATCCATAAAGAGAAACGCAAACGAAATTTCATTGCGCCAACCTAATAGAAGTTAGTGTTTAGAAGTTAGTATTTAGAAGTCAGTATTTAGAAGTTAGTATTTAGAAGTTAGTATTTAGAAGTTAGTATTTAGAAGTTAGTATTTAGAAGTTAGTATTTAGAAGTTAGTATTTAGAAGTCAGTATTTAGAAGTTAGTATTTAGAAGTTAGTATTTAGAAGTTAGTATTTAGAAGTTAACATCTGAAAGCTCTCTTTTGAACGACAGACAGCCCTCAATTATATATAATAGATTGAGACAAACGCTAAAAATTCATAGAGAAATTCGACACTCAAACATCCGGGTCGGCTAACCGATTGACTTTTAAAGCAAATCATTATCAAATCCATCAAATCTATCAACTCACTTCAGATTTTACCGATTAGTTTATGGTTTGAGAAGACATTTTGTCACATCAATCCATGCATCTCAGTTCTCATCAATGCTGCAGCTCAAGTGGCTCGGTTATGTTGTTCTCCTCAATGATGATGGAAAGATGACAAGTTAATTTCCTCCTTTTTGCTTAACGTTCAATTGTGATTCTTTTTCTGTCGAATTCATTCTTATAAATAGAATAAATTTTTTCTAGACTATACCAGATGTGCAAGTACCGCAGAACCAGAAAAAAAACTGCATTCCAAATTATAAAATCGGAGAAAACTAATAAAAAGTTAAAGTTTTTGGAAAATTCTTTCCGTCATGTTTAAACACATAAAAATGCTTTCGAATGATATATAACACTTGATGATTTGACACAAAAGAAAAATTTTACCAACATCAAAGGTGCGCGCGGGCCATGTAACCGCGCACTTCTAAAAAACCTAGGTTTCAGAGCTCGCGTTTCCATTGACCAAAACACAAAATTAAAAAACAGTTCCCGACTAACTTTTTGCGTAGAATTCAGAAATTTGCTTTTTTAGCCTAGTTTATCAGCTAGATTTTCGTAAAAAAAAATTATTTTGACTTTTCGGCGCAGAATAGTGAAGAAATTTCATGGAAAAATAGAATTCCAAATTTACATTGGGGTGTAATCGATGTGTGCTGCCATTTTCGCAAAGTTATTTTACTTGAAAGCAACAAAGGGGAGACAATAAGAAAAGAAAATTTCTCACTCATTCAATTCTTTAGCATTAACTCTCAAAAATCTGTTGAAACAAACTTGCTTCTAATCTGTTTCAGCAATTTATTCAGTCAATTGGTTGTGATTTGCTATTGCATTGGTTGCTATTTGCAAAGTCAATTGGTTGTGATTTGCTATTTGAATTTGCTATATGTTTTTATGTTCCTTTTTTAACATTTTTTTCAAATAATTGAAAAAAAAAGACAAAAATTAGCTGTTTTTTTGAGTTTACTTTAACTAAAATCCACTAATCTCATGGAAAATCTTATCAAATTCGACTTGCAAAGTATCTAGAAACTCTTGAAATTGTTATGAGTTCAGTTTTGAATCTTTGTTGGGAAAATTCAAAAACGACTTTGTTTTTTTTTGGTAATTTCAATTATGAAATCTGTAATTGAATAGACAAGGCATTTCTTTACCCTAAAGTCGCGAGTATAAGTTCTGTTTGGTTTTCGCATGCAAATTGACGGCTGTCTCCGGTGCGGTGTGTCGAGGGTTCGAACCCCGCTGCAGCATAACTTTTTGCTTTTTAAGAACAATAATAGAAGTAAATTTATTGAGGGTTATAGCAATTTCATGCTGTTATTTGTTGCTCTGGGCGTGGCTCGTGCGTGGCTCGGCGCGTCCGCCCTGCTCCTCTCCAGAGGAGACTGACTGAGCACCGGCTCAGTCTTATGGATCCCTCCCTGGCCTCTTCATCCGGCCAAAGTCCACGTCGACGGTCGAAAGAGATGCTTTCCGTCTTCGTCAGCGTCAGCGTCTTCTTCAACACTATCGTCTGGATGTATCCATGCACATAACAAATAGCAATGGTGATAGGCTGTCACCCTGTAGTATCCCGCGCTCCAAGAACAATAATAAAAGTTTATATAACGATAAAAATGTATAAAAACCCAACAAAAAGAAATTCAAAGCAATTAAAGCGAATGTAAATTAAGGCAGAGCTTATACTCGGATCAACTTTTACTCGAGACTTTAGGGTAATCTTTTCCAAAAGAAAACTCAAACTTTTTCGTCTTATAACAATGTAAGAACAATGTAAGAACAATAAAATGCAACTACAAGAAGATTAACAATGATATTAACCAGGGAAAAAGAGAAATCGAAAGCAATTAAATGTCTCATTTCCAGGATTTTGCTCTCACAATGGTCAACAAGCGACTTTTTTAGCGATAAAGTGAAATGTTTATCTGTTTATTAGCTTTTCCAGCTAAATTTGGTAACTGATGGCTGGATCCTCACCGCCAAGAGAGACACCAAGTGGTTCATAAAATGAAAACCCCATTGCTTTGTGAATTTTAATCCGGATTTTATGACCATTCCACCTTTGTGATAAGAGATCAAAAAAAAATCAATATTTCATCAAGAGAAGACCAATTTTCATATAATTTTGCACTAAAAGTGGCTGCTTATTTTGAAATTGATCCCAAGTTTTCTTCAATTTGAGAATAGCCGAATGGCCGAATGGCATAAAGGAAAACAAAGCCCAATCATACTGTAGCCTTAGCCACATTTTAGTGTTAAAGTTGATGAAATTTATGTGAATGCTTTGCCCAATGCTAAGCAAATGATCATTTCAAATTAAAGATCAACTTTAGATTTTGTTGAATTGAACAGAACTGTTGAATTGAATTGAACTGTGCAATTCAATTCAATTGAACTGTTCAATTCGATACAATTGAATTGTTCAAATCAATTTCAATTAGATCAAATGTTTTTATTGCCTCATTGACAACAGTGTGTTTATTATTGCCATTAACTTGAGACTTGACAATCGTTTTCTCCTTTTGAGGAGAATCGTTTTCTCCGAAATAAAAAAACCCGTATCTAATGTTTTTAACAGATTTATTATTGCCATTAACTTGAGACTTGACAATTGAAAAAAAGAAGAATTGCAATGAGAGCCGAGATCGGGAAAAGCAATGACAATTGATTCGTCGAATTGCACTTATCTGCATCGCAACAGTAGAGTTTTCCCTTGCCGACGGAATCGTCTTTCAAACTCTTTGTTTCCTTTTTCTAGAACAAACTTTTATTTTCGTTTTTTTAAAAACCTTATTTTCTTCATTATAAATTTGTGCAATCACTAGAATTTCTATTTATTATATTTTTTCGGTACCAGTTTTTTCAAAACGAATTCCCTTCAACACCAAGAATTTATAAGCGTTAAATCTTTCAAACGCAAGATATTGGGTTGGTGAATTGAAAACTGCGGGCTATTGTCGTATGTGACAGTTTGAGCACTTTCTTCAAAAGAAACCCATTTTTGTATCAATGGAAAAGTTGTAGAGAATCAAAAATCAAGCTTATATCCAAATTTTCAGAACGATTCAAAAACTGGTTTTCAAGAAATGGCAAATTTACGAATTTTCACAAAACTTGCAACAAAACCTGCGTTTTAAGCGAAACTACTAACTGTATCTTTTTGGAAATTTGGCTATAAGCCTAATTTTTGATTCTCTACAACTTTTCTATTGACACCAAAATGGATTTCTTTTGAAGAAAGTGCTCAAACTGGGCTGACAGCTGACATCTCCAGTCCTCCATTTCTGAGTCGAACACACAAACCAAAATCTTTCTTAATAGGATTTTGGCAGCACGCCTCCCTCAGTGCCGCTCATCTCTCACGATACAAAAGGAAATGTTAATTATAATTTCCCTCGTTAACTCTATTTATCAAAAGAAACATCTATTACTAATAAGGTTCGGCAAGCATCTAAGCTTTTGATTTTCCCACGTTTTCTGGGGTAATCGATGACGCTGATCACGAATTTGATGTTTAGAACACACGTTTTCAATTCACTTTTCGAGTTATTGACTTGTAAATAACTATAGAGAATTATAATTTCCTAAAAATCTCATGTTTTTAAAATGAAAATCACACATTTTGTATGCAAATCACTTAGGATTAATCAAAAAAAATTTACCGTGCACGTGTGACCGGCAGGCGTGGCGATGTCAGAGTCATCACCTCCACAGCCGCATCCCCAACCAGAGAGCGTTTTTTTTGAGCCCTGAACCAAACATATTTTCTTTTACTTTTTCTTTTGACATTTATTAAATTAAACTAATAAGGGAAGGTCAAGCGGGCATGGTGGCCAAATGGCATGTAATATATACTAGACATGTGTACTCGGTCCGGTCCTCGGTACGGTTTTCAGTCTCGGTCCAGCCCGAACCGAGATCGGACTGAAAAATTGGGGCTTCGGTTCACCCCGGCCTAGATAGGATCAAAAAATTGGGGCTTCGGTCCGGCCCGGACCAAAACCAAATTGTCCAGTCCGGACCAAAACCAAATTTTGTTAGAGTTCAGCAAAAAAAACAAGGAGAACAGACAGACAAGTACCAGCCTTCAATTTCCCGGTAATCTTCGCACAATAATTGCAGCCATCCGCACAGTCGATCGCAGTTTGCTAAATAAAATTGATTGATCTTGATTGCAAGGAGATTTGATTTCCAATTTAAAATTGTTTTTGTATAGCTTACAATACTCGTCGGTGCCTGTCCATCCGGATTCCCATCGCTATAGCATTGGAAGGCCAGGGAAACGCTGAGAAAACCACAGAAAAGAATGAAAGCCTGCATTTTTTTCTGAAAAAACACTGTTTAGAGTAAAATATTGATAAGTAAAACAGTAGAACAGTAGATAAAGTCTACTATAGCTGATCTCCTCTAGCTGATCGCCTCTAGCTGATCTACTATAGCTGATCTACTATAGCTGATCTACTATAGCTGATCTACTATAGCTGATCTACTCTAGCTGATCTACTCTAGTTGATCTACTATAGCTGATGTACTATAGCTGATCTACTCTAGCTAGTCTACTCTAGCTGATCTCCTCTAGCTGATCTCCTCTAGCTGATCTCCTCTAGCTGATCTACTATAGCTGATCTACTCTAGCTAGTCTACTCTAGCTGTTCTACTATAGCTGATCTACTATAGCTAGTCTACTATAGCTGATCTACTACATTTCTATGAAACGTTTAATTTAAGAAATTTTAGTATAATTTGAAAAAAAATTATGGAGAAATGTCAGAGCAAAAAGTACCTCTCCGATTCAAGTGAGAATCCAAAATAGTTTGCTGGCTTTAAAATGACACCTTATCATTTCAATTCAAAACCAACACCTTTGAGGGGTGGATTAATTGAAATCGTATCAGTGATTCACCACCAAGAGAGAGACCAAGTGCTTTATAAAATGAAAATCCATTGCTTTGTGTGTTTTAATCCGGATTTTATGCGACCTTTCCTCATTTGTGATAAAAGATCAAAAAAATCAAAATTTCATCAAGAGAAGACCAATTTTCATATAATTTTGCACTCAAAGTGTTTGCTTATTTTGAAATTGATCCCAAGTTTTCTTCAATTTGAAAATAGCCATTCCATAAAGGCAAACAAAGTTCAATCATACTGGCTACAGTATGATTGGGCTTAGCCAAATTTTAGTGTTAAAGTTGATGAAATTCACGTGAATGCTTTGCCCAATGCTAAGCAGATGATCATTTCAAATTAAAGGTCAACTTTAGATTTTGTGTTTAATTGAATCGAACAGTTCTGTTTAATTGAAGCGAATAGTTCTGTTTAATTGAAGCGAATAGTTGAGTTTAATTCAATTCAATGGAGCTTCACTGGGGTCCAACCAATGCCGCTTTTTTGCTGTGTTATCGTATTGGATCCACTTCTCATCCGACGTAACAATGGAGTCGGTAAACCCACTGTTCTTGGCGCGGTGGATCGATCGATGAATCGATGAATCGCCTTTTGAGTCTTCTTTTCAGTTCGCTTTCGGAAACACATCACGCTGACAACGCTGAAATGAAATAGTGTCATGAAACGTTAGAAATCTGAACTCAGAAATGAACTCAGAACTCAGAAATCAGACTGATGAACTCAGAAACTTGACAAGTTTTGATGTTTTGAGTAATAGTTTTCAAGTCAGTTCACAGACTAGCGACAGAAGCTGAAATTGTCAATTATAGAGTGTTTGTCCTTTCAAGTAATACCATTCTAACCTCTTTTCTTGCTAATTTCAAGTTATTCAGTTTATTTTTGATTGAATACCTTGAAATTCGATAAGAACAAGACTGTTGTTCTTATCTTTTTAGAAAGTCGCAGAGAAAGAAAGATTTGAAGTCAGATTTGCAATCCAAAACTCGATTTGCTAAGATTTAAAAAGTGGACGTTTGTTCAATAGAAAAGCTTTCAGATCGTGACTTTCTTGAATGACGCTTTCACTCTGTTCGATGAGATCATCATTTCGATCGATTGAGTGAAGATATCGAAATAGATCACTGTTTCGGATTCAGCTAAATAGAATCGAATGTTATTTAGCTATTCTAAATGTAACTGTTCCCTTTAAATACCCTATCTTGTTCAGTTTTTTGTGCTGAATCCGAATCAGCAATCGATTTTCCGATATCTTCACTCAATCAATGAGAAATTCACTTTTTAAATCGTATGCAAATTCTATTTTTTAATGTTAAGTGACTGACTAACTGACTGACTGACTGACTGACTGACTGACTGACGAGCCGCTCGGAAGAGGAAATGCTAGGAAGAGCTCGTTGAGGACAGAAGAAGCTCGTTTTGGAAGATCAAAGATTGTTTGAAATACCGTCTCAACATGTATTCGAAAGCATACGTCTCCAAATTGAAATGGGACGCTTGCCGGAAGTTGTCATCTGAATTTTGGCTGAAAGGTTTCCACCGACTGGTAATGACCATTTAAAAGCAAGGTTAGATAAAAAGTTACTCTTGAAATCTCTTCAAACTTTCGATTCACATGACTCAAAACAACAATGATAATAATAAGAACCATTTTTAGTTAAACGTGGGTTGAGTGTGGGCGTTGAAACCGACAAAAGCGTGAACCAGGGACACTATCACTGTCCGATCGAGCCGCTACGTTGCTCCGACAAAGGCAGCCCACATCGCCCCCAAAATGCGTTTTCTATCGGATTTTTCTGAGAGTACCTTTTTTAGATGCGAAAAATTGTGCTGATTCCGAATCTGAAGGAATTTTCCAAATCCCTCTGACGTTTTAGCGGTTTTTTGGTCATTTTGTATGGGAAATTTTGTGGTACCCTGCAGTTTGGAGCTCGTAACTCGACAACGAGGGTCTAGAACCAAAAACGAATGGATACGTTTTATTTTAGAGACTCTTACGAGCATTTTAATGCAAAAATCATCAAATTTGCTCAACTCTACAAAAAGTTATAACATCTTTAAAGAAATTTTTTAGATTTTCTCATTTCTTTTTTAAAAAATGTTATAACTTTTTGTAGAGTTGAGCAAATTTTATGATTTTTGCATTAAAATGCTCGTAAGAGTCTCTACAATAAAGGTTATCCCTTTGTTTTTGGTTCTAGACCCTCGAGTTACGAGCCCCAAACTGCAGAGTACCACAAAATTTCCCATACAAAATGACCAAAAAAACCGCTAAAACTAAATTTAAAAAATTTGGGGCTCGTAGCTCGACAACGAGGGTCTAGAACCAAAAACGAAAGGATACGTTTTATTCTAGAGACTCTTACGAGCATTTTAATGCAAAAATCATCAAATTTGCTCAACTCTACAAAAAGTTATAACATTTTTTAAAAAAGAAATGAGAAAATCTAAAAAATTTCTTTAAAGATGTTATAACTTTTTGTAGAGTTGAGCAAATTTGATGATTTTTGCATTAAAATGCTCGTAAGAGTCTCTAGAATAAAACGTATCCCTTCGTTTTTGGTTCTAGACCCTCGTTGTCGAGCTACGAGCCCCAAACTGCAGGGTGCCACAAAATTTCCCATACAAAACGACCAAAAAAACCGCTAAAACTAAATTTAAAAAATTTCGCTCAGAGGGATTTAGAAAATTCCTTCAGATTCGGAATCAGCACAATTTTCCGCACCTAAAAAGGTACTCCCAGAAAAATCCGATAGAAAACGCATTTTTGCCTTATTTCGCGCCGATGTGCAGCCGGTAAATTTCAAAATTCAAACGTTTTTACAGAAATCTAGAGCGTTTGGGTAAAAACTAAGAACTCCATCGTGTTTCCGGTAAAGAAATATTCTTTGCGTGCTTGGTACTCTTCACTCAAGCCACTTTATTTCTTGTTTCGAGATGATCTGATCTCACTTGAACACTTTAATCAATAGACACTTTCAATAGACACTTCAATAGCCTGACTCGGAATTTTTGGGCTCTCACTTGAGCAATCTTCACACAAAATCGACAATTGAATTAAAAGCGACGATAAAAACAGAAACAATTTCGTCAAAATTATGACAAAACTTTCACACGATGAAAGGAAAATAGAAAAAGGTAAAAACGATTCAAATGAACAGCAGTTGCCTTTTGTAGGCTTTAACAAAAGATATTCAGCTAACAAGCTACAAAACAATAAATGATTTGGCGAAATAGAATGAAGGCGCACGGATTTCCGCAATACTTTTCCAATTTTTAGGCTGTCAGAGTTAGGTAACTTTTTAGTGGCTATTCGCCACAGGTATCCAACTTGCCATACAGCTTTGGTAGTCATACAGCTTTGGTTCGAATTCGCCCTTTCAAAATTTGATCATTCTCTAGTCAGAAAAAAGGAGAGTGGCCAGAGAAAAAGGAGAGCCATTTCATTCTCATTCAACAATTTCTGAACATCTTTCGACTGATGTTTGAAATCGTTGTCATCCTGATACACAAAATTATTTGCATCACTTTGTGAGCATGTCAGAATTTGTGAGCGCTCTTTGAATGAACTTTTTCAAAAAGACTTTGTAATGGTCAATCTGGTGGGGCGAAATTGAGCTGCGAACTCTGCGTGAATGCTTCCCTGATCTCTTCATTTGATGATTGCTTATTGAACTTTTAATTTAATCCAAATCTTTCTTTCCTTTTCTAGTTATCGCCTTTAACCCATTCGAAACCGCAGCGTTTTTTCTTTTTTTTCGTCTACGGACCAAGCCCTTTTTTGACATTTTTGGCTCCGAAGCAGTTTATTTATGGTTGGAAAGATGTAAGAGAGCCTCCTACACCATTTATTTTTGATGAAGAACGATTTGGATTTGACTTCAGTACTTTTCAAGATCCTATCGATTATTATTCTTATTTTATCGACGACAAATTAATCAATATGTTAGTAGGCGAATCTAATAAACATGGAAAAAGGAAAACAAACAAACAAAACTGGCAGGATTTCGATGCAAAATCTTTCAAGCTCTTCCTGGCTTCAAATGGGAATCGTCAAATTATCGAGGATTCGTGACTACTGGAGTAGCAGGCCTGGATTAGGAGGATTTTCCCACATGTCCCACATTATGTCAAGAGCAAAATTTGAATCTATTCTTCGCAACCTGCGTTTTTGTGATAATGAACTGAATTCTGCAGGAGATCGGCTTTATAAGATTAGAGCTATTATGGAACATTTCAATGCAAAACCAGAGACTGCATTGATTCCGGGTAAATATGAAACATCTTTTTTGCCCACGTAATTTGTAGATCTGCTACAATTGGAATACACATGCAATGCTGAAAAACAGCAAAAAAAAAAGCAATTAATTGAATGAAAATAGCTCAATTAACGCTACAGCGAATAATCGCTGCAGCGG